CCCCAATACACTTGGAATCTAACCTCTGCCCATCTCTAGTCTCTACCTTCTCAATCACATGCCACGTCACTCTCTTTTTAAAGATATTTTGTCAAATGAGGTTTTGAAAAGATAATTCAAAAAAAGAATGATTATTCTAGCTTTATAATGTCTAAAAATATCGTACCAATCCAATGTGGGATTCCATCCCATTCCTCAACAATTTTTTCTTCATGGAAATTAATCCTACATAATTTTTCTTCAAAATAATTTCAAAAACCTCTATAGAAGTTTTGCTTTTATGATTTTCATTTGTGCTCTCTTCATCAACATTATATTTTGTGGGCATCATCCACCGGGATAAGTGATGACTTAGTCGGCCATGTAAGCAAATAGGCTTGCAATATAGTTATATATTACTATTATTTAATAATTACTGCAATTTAATTTCTTTAAATATTTAGTAGGATATTTCCTTGAAGTTTCAATTTGTTTTGCTCGTTTTAAATGCACATTAATTAGAATTATTAGATAGAATCTTAGGCTTAAATTCATAAAATTCCATAAACATTAACCTGTCAATTTCCCTTCTATTGTGGCTTTATTTTCCACTCCATCAATTATAATTAGTTAGCTAACAATATGTCACGAGTCAAAAAGATTTTAGATTAGCTGTACTATATGATCAATCATTAATTAAGAATCCAATATTAAGATAAACTGAGATTACGAGACAAACAGTAGACAGGATAGTCCCTAAATTACTATTAAATTCAACAAAGTTTAACTTAATTTAACAACATGTTTAGCGAGAACACGACAATCGTTTTACGTACCTTATAATATTTTCTGTCTATCGCGCACGCTTCCCAATAACTTTTCCTCGACAGCCACCATTTCCAAATTCGATTTTTACATTATCAGTATATATAATTAACCTAACGTTTGAGTGAGTGGGTGGGTGGGTAAGTGGTTAGAGGGGTCCTTGGTGTGGTCAATTTGATAGTAATAATTTAAGTACGAAGCATAACACATTGACATAAGATGGCTGAAGAAAAAGAACCTAGAGAAAGAGGAGACAATGAAGATTAAATAACACTCATATGTTTGATGATTTTCAAGGTGTTTACATATATAATATTATAGAAAAAGACATAGTTGTACTGTACAAATGAGGACATGTTGGCACGTGATGTTCTCGTGACAGATATGGTGCCCATCTTCTATTATTCAGACATATTTGTTTCTTATATTATGTCCCATGAAACTTCCTCCTTGGTCCTAATTATAATGTGTGAAGTTACATATCTTCCTAGGAGTAATAATCAAAATGGGATTATGAAGCAACAACAAACAAATCTTTGTATTAATTGTTATTAATCACAGACAGCTTGGAAATGTACAATCCAGTGAATTAGAGTATGATTACTTATAATGGTGCTATTAGGACTTGTAGTTACACTATCCAAGTTCACTTAATCATATAACTATGAGTATCAATTTGGGATTTGCTATGTCTCCAATCAAATCAAACATCATTAACCAGGAGTGAGGATCAAGTTTAAGGTAGAAATAAGAAGAATAATAAAATGCAAACGCGTGACACAATAATTTAAAGTGTGAACTTTTAGTTAGAGGAGTACACTCGTAAATAGTGGCGAATACAAGATTTTTACTATAGGGTTCGGAAAAAAAAATACAGTGTTTAAGAAGGGACTCAGAACCTCAATAAATTTTGAACACCTGAACAACTAGGTCAATCTCTACTGTTGTGTTTAGGAAATTCCAATTCTATATATATGCATAAAAGAATTACCTTTTATATAGTGTAATTTTTTGTTGAGAGGGTTCGATTAAACAACTTCGGCCACCTCAAGATCTACCCATATCAATAAGGGTGCCCCAATTGGTAACATGTGGTATCCATAAGGGAGGTCAGAGATTGATTTCCTCAATAAATACATTTTCAGTCGAGCTCGTTGCACAGAGTTTGCCTAAAGTGATTTTACATGTGCAATTTGTAATGTGTTACTTATTACTCCGTCCTAGTTTATGTGGCACATTAGGATTTTCATTAAGAGTGTCAACCACATTTTTCTTTGGCTGAAATTTCTTTACCAGTCTTTAAATATTTTAAGTTGTTAATTATTGTAATTTATATTACTTTTTACATAGTTATCAAATATATAAATATTATTTCAACAAAAATCTAAAGAGTAAAGACTATATGAAATCACCACCAAAATTTAAAAACTTAGAATATCAAAATTCTAACCATGCTATACATAAATTGAAACAGAGAAAATATCATGTGGTCTACCTTATGCACAGTAACAAAGAGTTTCCTAAAATTAGGGTTCTAAGTTGGCTCACTTAACCAATGGACTATTAAGCACTAGTTATCAAGTACTCGTAATTTCATTTTATAATATATGTATTTATTCTCCTTGAAATTAACATAATACTGAAATTGAGCTTCTGAAGAAAAAATTGGGTCTTCGTCTCAATTAAATTATTTGTTATATTTTAAGTGGTCCATAAACATTCACGGCTAGTTTGTATTTTATATTTTTAAGGACCAACAGTAACTAGCTGCCAAGGCAAATTTGGGTAGAATTCTGACAATAATTGGCGGCCTTTGACTACAAAATGTACACAAAAATAACACGTATGTAAAAATAAATAACAAAACAGATTTATATATAAGAAAAATAGTGTTCCAACAAAGTTTCCTATATATTTACTCGAAAAATAACAATACATTAATTTGAAACAAGTATATCATGTATATATATATATATATATATAACTATATGATAATTAACAATTGAAAAATATACACAAGGCGATTTTTCCCCATGCTATTGTTTATGGGGTCGACATTATCAAATAACCAAGTTCGAAGATAAAAGTTTATGTGTGCATTGAATAAGCCGTTGTTTTTGTAGTACATTTGGACCGGGCTAGTGAAAGTGGGCTTGTGAAGAAAAGTTGGGGGCTTCACTGTAGGTAGGTGGTCCTTAAAAATTCAGGGCTATGTTGATTTATTTGTATTTTAAGCAGAGAACAGAAAGTAAATGCCAATTGCCAAAGGTAAATTTAGGTTAGATTTCTGACAATTGGATGGCTTTGACTAAAAAAAAAGGTAGTAATAGACAAGAAACACACGTATATATGGAAAAAATAGAAGAACAAAAACATAAGATAAGAAATCCTAGTGGAGGTCCCTGACAAGAGAGAGGACTCCCATGATTCGTCATTGTTAATGTCAGATATTGGAGATGATAGCACGTTTTTGCATTCAAATGGGGTCGGAAAGTATATAGTGTATGCAGATTATATTCTTATTTCAGAGAGATAGAGAGTTGTTTTCGATAGACGTTAATAAAAAAAGTAAAACTATACTGAATAGTAAGTAATGTTAACAAAACAAAATGATAATTAAACTATAAGAAACAATAGAAAGCCATAGAATTAAAGTACAAGAGCAATATTCCAATTACGACTATGGTCGGATAGCGAGACAATGCACGGTGCAAGTAGCACATTCAAAAGAAAAGGCAAGAGAAGGTTTCTTAATACGTATAATATATGTAAATTTAATACTACATACATATTTTGTAAACTAGATAAAAAAATATAGACGCCGCTGCCGGGGATCGAACCCGGGTCACCCGCGTGACAGGCGGGAATACTTACCACTATACTACAACGACTTCTTGTTGCAATATTTTCAATAACAAAGTTATATATTGTAAAGTCAATGTACAAAATGGTTTGGGCCTGCTGTAAAATGCTAAAGAGCAGCAAAATCTAATTCTTGAAGTTGGATTGAAGAGGGCTAGTGCTTTACCAGAAGGATGCATTTAAAAAAGAGCAACTTTCACATATAGCAAACAAAAAAAATCATATTTGCATGCTATAGCAAAATTTGCATAATTGCACTCCATAGCAAACATATATATGTATAGTTCGCTATACATATACAATTGAAAGCTGTCTATTTCGCTATACATATATACAAAAAGAAGCAATTGTATAATTCGTTGGCTCCTCTTCAGATTTGTATAATTTCGCTGGCAGGCC